ATAGCGCAAATTATTTGATAGCTGAAATTCACTTCCTGTGTTACATAATGGAAGAACCACGTTGTTAGACAAACCTTTTTTCTTCCACGGACTGGTACCTGAAGCCTGAAGTCTGACCTCGGCAGATGGGACCCTCTAATATGGCAGTCTTTGAAGTCTCCTTTGAATGAAAAGAATATATTAACCGGCAAAAAAATTTGACTTCCTCTCTTCATGAAAAGAAGATCGCACAAAACATGGTCAATAATGCTGGTGTTAAACGAGCAAGTGCAAAGCTTCGGCGCACATGCATACACTAGCAAGGTTGTCTGCCCCTTGCGTGCACATTATTCGGTCATCAAGAGCGAGCACTAAAATCGGTTACCTTGTTCCACGAGTTGTCCATGTCCATTCGCTGAACATTAAGCTGCATTTTGTCAACATAAGAAGAAAGGTTCTGGCTCTCACTGTGTGAATTGCCCCTTGTTTTTATATTTTACTCCCGGACAACAAAGACATTTACCAGCTAATTTGGTTAATTTATTGCTTTTTTTATTGGGTATTGTGAAGCACTGCATTGTTTGCTTACTTCCGGAGTGTATGCGTGATTTCCTCTTTAACCTTCACATAATGCTCAACAGTGACTCATCTCTGACATTCCGGGCACCTATGTTTCCACATGCTTTGTCTTCGGCCGTTCTTATTCCTAAGCAGGTAGATATATTATACAAGCAATTGCATGCTGTAAAGCATTGAAATGAATTTTGGCATAACAGCTGTAGATTATAGCAAATATTTATAACCAAAATGCAATGGTGTCAGCCGTATTGTCTACTTAGCTACCCTACACACATGGGAACTAGAAAATTTGATAAAGAGAAGCGCCCATCAACAGAAAAATGTTTGAAACATGCACCATGAGTCACAAGGCCCCCTTTTGGTTAGAAATTAAATTGCAAATAACGATGATGAATTTCGATTACAAATGTGCGTAGCCTACGTTTTTTTATAGCAGATTGCACCAATTAGGGCAGTATGCGTTTCTAGTTGTTCGCAAAGTCTTTAATAGGTGATGCCATCAGTTGTTATCTTCGTAACTACCATGCAATAAAGTAAGTTCTAATCGGATACTGCAAGTTCAGTTAACACACTTCTGGGAATCGCGTCGAGAAGTACCTGTTCAGGACCCTTTCCAAAGAAACTGACTGGTGAACGTAATTGACGAATTACGTAATTGGTGAACGTAATGAATGAACGTAATGAACTTCCTGTGGATTCATGGTTGGGACAAAATAGTGAGCTAAATATAAATGAAAGTCTCTTGTAGCCACTGTAAAGAGTGCACTGTAAAACAGCCCCATGCTTTGGGGGCCTCGAAATAGCTTTTCACCTAATACATCCAGATTTTTTTTCCAAGTTCAAGAAAATACTAAATGTGAATAGCACTGTAGAGGTGTACAAGTTCTTTCGATGATAAACTGATATATATATATATATATATATATATATATATATATATATATATATATATATATATATATATATATATATATATATATATATATATATATATATATATATATATATATATATCTTGTGAAGAACGGCAAGAAGGTCATCCAGTTGGTCTGCCTATAAAAGACAAAAACAGATGGAGAAAATCCTACATTGATAATAGAAACACCTTATAAAGTAAACATTACCATTTTTTTCGCCATAGATTGTGGTCACCACCATGGTAGGCGTCGTGCTTGCCGGTGATATCGGTGGGGGTGGCGGATTTGGTGGCGGCGGTGGATTTGGCGGTGGTGGCGGTCATGGTGACGGCGGCGGCGGATACGGCGGTGGTGGTGGAGATGGCGCCGTTCACAGGTTAGTAAAGTCTCCCTTTGCTATCATCATGCGTACAATATTAACATGAGCGCTTTAGCTAATGATTTCAGTGCTTTTGTAAAACCCACAGGATTTGCAGTCTTATTTTTGTGCATTTTGAAAAACTTTCAATGGTATATATAGAAAGGGGGTCCCACATAACTTGAGCCAATAATTTGAAAGTGAAAGGCACTTAGGAGGCGAATTGAACCGAACGCCTACTGCTCGCACTAGCCTGTAGGTACTCAGGCTATTTTTTATTTTTCTCCATACTAATTAATAATGATTTTTAATTGCCTAATTTTTAAATATGGGCCAGAAACCCAAAATATAAACACTGAGGTGTAGAGCACTTTTAGAAACCACCGGCTAAATTGTTTCTCGTAGTATACGTCTCGCGCTGTTATTTTTTCCACTTTGTAAAGAAAGCCTACAAAAAGTGAAAAGAAACCTTGTGACGGACCACATTGGTATGTGGGGTTTAACATCCCAAAACCACCATATGACTATGAGAGACGCTGTAGTTTAGTGCTCCGGAAATTTCGACCACCTGGGGTTCTTTAATGTGCACTGAAATCTGAGCACACGGGCCTACAACGTTTCCGCCTCCATCGCAAATGCAGCCGCTGCAGCCGAGATTCGATCCCGCGACCGGCGGGTCAGCAGCCGAGTACCTTATCCACTAGACCTCCACGGTAGGGCTGTGACGGACCGCAAGTGCTATGCTATATTGATGCTATCGGCTTTCTTTACAACGCGAAAAAAAAACAGCGCTAGACGTGTCGTATAGGAGCAATTTCTTGGGTGGTTTCTGAAAATGCTGTACGTCTCAGTGTTAATATTTTGTGTTTCCAGCTCATATTAAAAAACATGTCATTATGAATTATTTCATTAGTATGGAAAGAAATAAAAAATAGCCTGAGTACCTACAGTTTAGTGTGAGTAGTACACATTTGGTTCAATTCATCACAGAACTGTGTTTCATTTTCAAATTCTTGGCTGAAGTTATGTGGGGCACCCTCGGGTGCTTGTCCACGGGTGCATCTAAAACCCACCCTAAATTTATTCAGCACAGAAGTAATGGTACAATGTTCTTATTACAGATGTTGTTTTTGTCAAAGATGCCATACGCTGTCGTGCGGCATCATCAGAGCATCTGATATTTCGTCGCTATGCATATGAGACAAATACTTTATATAGACGTTCACAAACTTTAGGACACTAAAAATGACCATTTACTATGCAAAAGTTGATTGAAGTTTAATGGATCGAGTGGTCTATTTTCGTTGGACAAAATTTTATGTGTCCAGAAGAGGAAGTAATACTTGTAGTCTTATTAATAAATAAAACAATCATGAGAAAAATAAAAAAGATATGAGTAAGACGAGAAAACAACACAGCATCGGTGGTGATAGAATGTTTTTAATAATATTTACTATACGCAAGAAGTAATGGGTAAGTCTACCTGAATATAAGACGCCACGCAGCCTGCTTTTAAACATGCCATGAGGTTCTTCCCTATTCAAAAATTTCCCCTCACGTCAAATGACGTTTCATTCACAAAACTGAAAAATATTGCAGCCATACCGCATAAACGGCTTTGTGTTAGTATATATGTGTTCTCCAAGGCGCCACATAGAAAAAAAATGATGTCAAAGACCAGGTTATCTCTTCTTGCTTGATTTCAAAATATTGACGCTGCCCCCAAAACTTTTGACTTTTACTGAAGCGTAATATTTGCTTCTTTCAAAGCAAAATTGGCTCTTTCCAAACTTGAAAAGGCTTCAATGAATTTTTTCACATCAGCTGCCTAATCCCATAAACAGTGCCGTCAATAGGGCTGCTAATAAGTGTGTCAAATGCAACGTAATAGGGGCTTATATTCTCGGCACGTTTCCACGCTTGGTAAGCTGCTTTATTACGTGCTAATCTGGATGTCCTTCTTTTCAGTGTTTCCGCAGGCAACTTTGATTTTGCTTGAGATTTGTCAGCCTGCCGTCTCGCTATATGTACTATATTGCTGCATTCAGACTGCCACTTGCACTGAAGCGTGCACAGTGGTGTACTATTCTTGGTGATACTCAGTTACGTAACACCGGAAATGGAACGATTAGGCCTCAGCCTAATCGCGTCATTTTGTAACAGCGAGGTTGCCAGCGAGCGCTCCTTCCACACCTCTCCGAAGCGGATCATGTAGCGGGACTAGAAACGAGTGAGACGCAGAGATAAAAAAGCAGCATACACAGCTGCAGCGTCCGAGCAAGCCGAGAGCCAAAAGCGTTTCCCTCTTTTTCTTCCTCACACCTCCAGCCATGCTGCTCTTTTTTTTTCAATTTTTTCTTTTGCCAAAGCCCGACGGACGCCCCTTGTATTGCGCTTGCACTCCAGCTAATGCAGGTGATTGCGACGCACTGAAGAACCTTACGGAGACATGGAATAGTAGAGCATTTGTTCTAAAAAATTTATGGAAAATATCTAGAACACAGAAGTCGTCTCTGCGAAAAAAAAACACGTGTGATTCTTATCAGCAAGTCCTGACCTGCCACATATACAACTCTCTTAAAAGAGGCACGTTGGCTCACCTGTGGGTCACACGACTCCCCAATGAAAGTACAATGACTCCTTACGAGAGTACTTGTGTCCCTTTAAATAGAGTTAAATAATTGGCACATCAGGACTATAGCAGAAAGACTCTTATCTCGTAAAGTGTAGAGCATGTTTAAACAGTTGTGAAATTCAATAAAAAAAGTTGATCACCTATATTCACACTAATTTTGGCAGCATGATAACGGTGGTTTAAATTACTAGAGAAATAGATAGGGCAGCAACGTTCTAAAAAAGAAAATATGCGAGCTGATATTTTTAAACATGTATGTAAATATCAACAGGTTCGTAATTACAACGAGAACAACTTCCGGTGGAGGAGGAGGAGGCGGTGGTTATGGAGGTGGTGGATTCGGAGGTGGCGGCTTCGGTGGTGGCGGCGGTGGAGGCTTCAGCGGCGTCGGAGTCGGCAGTGCCTCCAAATTCAAGGGAAGCACCATTTATGTACTCAAGCCCCGCGTGACCGGCGGTGGGGGGTATGGTGGTGGTGGATTCGGCGGTGGCGGTGGAGGCGGATGGCAGCCGAGTGGCGGCGGTGGCTGGCAACCAAGCGGCGGTGGTGGTGGCGGCTGGCAACCAAGTGGCGGCGGCTGGCAATGATCGGTGACACCACAACATGCCACAAGCGTATGAAGCGTATGTATTGCTTGCTTGCTTGTTCCTTTCTTTTGTGGCTCTCACGCACTAAGGGGGATTGGCCAAGAAGCCGGAGGTTAATGCACTCTATGTACTCTACTAGAAAATGTTTCTTCCTCCTTCTTCACAAGGAAACAGGCCCGTAGTTAATAAGTTTTTTAACGGGGAGTGGGGACACTTCTTTTAGGCCTTAAAAAACAGCCGTATTGATTATTTATATCTCATTCAATGCCATCCTTCATCCAAGTTCGGAGATGGCCTAAGCCTTTAGTGCCCCCCCCCCCTCCTTGTGGCTACGGGCCTGCAAGGAAAATACCTATTGAGCAATTGGGGAGTATTCTCTCCAACGCAGCAGCGGGATCAGTTGACTTACGAGCGGAGGGAGTTAGCAACAAGTAGTAGTTGGGAAATACATTGATTAACAGCACAGACATGTGTCAATGACGACGAAAATATTTTGTAGAAAGTTGAGACACCATTTATTGGGGAGAATGGACAGCCTTTAAATCAGTTTATATATAGTGTCAAGACATTGTATTGGGCATAAAGTTGTTGAAAACAGTGTGCTTTGTATAAAAAGTGGTTCCAGCCACGCACAGGTATAATTCACATTTTCACTACTAAGTAGTTACGAGTCTGTATAGATACGAACATATATAATGAAGTAGGTGCAGTTATGCCATGGACATGACGAGATTTCGTTTTGTTGTTTCTGCTACAATTGGGACACTACAATTTATAAAGAGTGTTCGGGCTAAATGGAACTTTCTTCTTCAAAAAACTTCACTTAGAACATTGTGTAATTTGATTTTCTTCTCAAGTAATGTCCTTTTTCAACCAGTAATCAAGGCGTACTGGGTTGAAGCTTACCGAGGCGAGTTTTTAAAATTTTATAACCAATAAAAACAGTAAATTTGTTGCTCGCTTAACCTGCTACATAGGTCTATTACAATTAATCTTCAAGGTGTTGAATATTATATTGAATATTAGGCTGCTTAAAATTTTTCGCCGTCTCAAAAGCTGTAAGTTACCTCAGCGCTGAAAAAAGTGTGCTTGTGCCACAAACGCAGAACTATTGCAGTTGGAGTTCTGTAAAATCTTTTCTTTTTTACTCTTGCAGGAAAATAAAGTAGAGCTTCAAAGAAATCATGACTGGGCGACGTTTCCCCACATCTAGTCGCCCCACGAAGTTTACGACCACAGTCGACCTGTAAATGCTGTACAGAGCGGGCTTCTATCCGTCCGTGTTGTTGCAATAAACTGTTACAAAATACCACTGTCATGTTCTTAGATTGCGCAGATCATGTCAGTTTAGAATATTGAGTATACCTTACGTGACCTTGTGTTAGTCGGAATTCCTGTGCGCAGAGAGAGAGAAACAAACGAACTGCCACATATCGCCAGATAGTACTTTTTTTATAAGCAGTCGGTAAGTTCTCTCTACGTGCGCTTGTATTCCGAAAATATGATGATGCAAGCATCAAGCGTCGTCTGTGTCTTCCAAGCAAAGATTGCAAACGAAAACTACGTTAGCAGCTGATAACGTATTCAATTAGTGACGGCATGAAGCTTATGATGAAAAAAAAATAAATCTTATGTGAATGAACTCTGAAATCTATAGTACTTCCCTTGTTGGCAGCGCACATCGTCCCAAAAAAAAGAATGCCCCATTAAGTAAGGTCCACATACCGGGTCTTAGCGGCAGCGGGAATAACCTTTAAGGTATCCTTCTAATTCTGTCACGAATCCTCTCATTATTGTTTTACTTGCCACACCGAAGTATGCAATATTTATATCTGAGTGACATAACGAACATAGCCTTGTGTATTGTTGTTTCACTTAAGGCACACTGTGTCCTCGAGCGAAATGAGTAGCAATCGATAGTACATCATATAAAATATTATTAGCCTGTTAGAGGGATACCAGACATCAGCGAACCGATAGGTTCGACCTAAAAAAATGCGCAGCCCGCACAAAGTCGCGTTATGCTGAGTCACGATAGAGCTGATAGGCAGATTTTATATTCTCTCGTTAACCATTCAAACGTAGAGTACTTCGGCTGTCATTAAGAGCGTTCCGGTTAATAATGATGATAATTTTACATCTACGACTCATGGCGAACCTCGATCATAACAGCTGTGGTGTAAGACTTCTACTGCACGTGTGTGCCATAAAAATGAGGCAAATTCTGCTACTCACCGTAGTTATTCACTGCAAGTTTACGAAGGAACAGACGGGTGGCAAAAAACTCTATAATATTTGTGTGTAGATGTAACCAGTACTTCAGGCACACTTAAACGAGCCGTTGTAAACATTGGGCAACGCACTTGATAATCATCTGTGCGGGATGCTTGGGCGGCGATTGTGCGTCAGACGGTTCCTGATAGTTTTCTTTGTGTGGCATATGGCAAACCTCGGCTAAAACAGCTCTACTATAATAATAATATTTAAACTCTCACTACTGCATCATTCAAGACTTCATGGACATGGTATAAGTGCTTGACCTCGTAGAGAACTGATGCAGAAATAATCATATGGTGGTTTGGGGACGTTAAACCCCACATATCAATCAAATCAAATTTGTAGAAATCTAGAAACTATGCAGAATTTTTCGTGGAATATCAAATCTTTATGTTTTTTTTGCGTATACAGAGCTTCACTCATCATATAACGGGTATATCTTGTCCATGAGTTTTCCCGATGAGAGCTAGCCTAATATTTGCATACAATGTTTGTGATGAGCTGACGTTTTGAATTTCACGCTCTTCATTTGTAAGGTACAGTGGTGTCATCTCACGACTTCCTTTCATAATCCCGATAGTTCTATTATTTACAAGAATTAAGAAATTTGATACTTGCATTTAATTATTTACAGAACGGAACTCTTATAACAGTTATGTTGGGTAGGCGAGGATATATATTTCACGAAAAAACCACAGATAAAGTTGTAAAAGCTCAAAGAATATTATAGCGAAATTACTTCTTGCATGCAATGTTCCTGCTTTAGGCATGTTGGGAGTGTACTATAATTAGAGGCTTTGAAAGAAATCACCAGAACATTGTTATAGGCACCCAAGAACCTCTAAGTACTTGTATAATGACTATTAAAACATCTTATGCCTCATGAATCAACTGCCGCAAATATTTTTTTAGAATGCTTGAAGTACGGAAGGGGCAACTCGCATTGTCCACCTGCTTTGAGAGCTTCCTCTCTATTTCAGGGTCAGCAATCGCGATGATATCTGAGCAAGGGGGGAAACAAGAAGGTAAAGAGAAAAAGGGTTCTTCATCAGTGCGCGTCATCACCTTGACGAATTCCTTTTCATTTTTTTTCTGCTAACATGCAGCTTACTTGCCACGTGATGGCAAGCGCGTGCGCGGGTGGGCACATGGCGGCGTCTCGGGGGAGCACGATAACTACACAGCTAGTGATGCTCAAGTGAGCCAACAGCCATGAGCATTGGGTACACTGAGCCATAATTTGGATGTACGACGTCATTGGTAGAGAGAAGGGGGAATGACTATTAGCTGATTTTGAGATTTCATTCTGAATTCTAGGCCACGTGCTGCGCTATACCTACTGGTGCGCATGTTCTCAGGAGCATCCACTACCGCATGGCAGCATTTACCAACCATGCTGAAAAACAGTTGCAGGGCATCTTCGAAAAGCACTATGGGCATTTTAATAACCGAGCTGCCTTGAACTTTTAGGAAGGAAGGTATAAGGTGAGGAAATATCACTATAGCGTAGGTCGGCGAGCCTGCACTGCAGAATCGGCAAATAGGAACAGAAAGGTGAGAGATACGGGAGATGGGAGGAAAGAAAATTTGGTAGATCCCACGTGCAGTGGGAATCGATGATATGTGAAGTACAAATGAGGAAGGTTGATATGTCGCTTTCAAATACGCACAACGTTATGAGGTGGACGTAAATTATAACGAAAATAACTTCCATGTATTAATTATTGTGTCTGGACGTGTCATTTACCTTTGTAGTCTATACGCGTCTCGTGATACCAAGTTTCGTATATGTGGAGCCAGAGAAACATTCGTGAGAGCACTATCAGCGTAGCATGAAGGTATGTTTCACATGACACGTATATCATGATTATCATGTCTGGACGTGTCATTCACGACGATAGTTATAGCGCGAGAAGAAAACGACGACACAGAGACAAGAAGGACACGAAAGACACGAGCGTTAACCCAACTGAGTTTATTGCGCAGAGCACGAAAATATATAGAGGAGACAGTTACCATGTGATAAAAATCATGTGGCACAAAGAGCAGAACATGAGTGAGAGAAAAACAAAACAAAAAAAAAAACAAAAAGAAAAGTACAGAAAAATGGCAAAGAAAAATCTATATGAAAACAAAACCGAAAAGTAAAGATAACATAACTATTTGCGCGCACCGAAACCTTCGAGGAACCTGAGTTCTTTCTCGGACAGAGCCACGGAGGGCTTGCTAATACAGGGCATCTGTTCGCGTGCCATCTGCGCGGCCTCGAAGATCACTCGGGTGCGCTCATCTCTGTGCTTGTACAGCGTCGCTGTGTCCTTGAAAAGGGGCACACAATTGCACTCAGTGCAGTGCTTAGAAACGGGAAAGATGGTTTTCTTGCTGATCACCTTCGTGATCGATTGACGTCACATAACACCAAATTTGGTGTACGTGAAGCTAGCGAAACGGCCGTGAGTGCACCAAGAACGATTCATGCAGTCAAGTTGCATAACACACAGCTCGTGATTATCAGGTTCGCACCTGTCACGTACCTCCGTCATTCATTCACGTCCCGCAATACCAAGTTTGGCATGCGAAGCTAGCGAAACGACCGTGAGCGCACCATGAGTGGGGCGTGTAGTCATGACTTACATGACATGCATGTCATGGTTTCCACGCTAGGATCTGTGACTTGTGTTCGCCATGCAGTCATGTCATACTAGTTTCTCTACATATCATGTGAACGAAAACACCACAAGAGCAGCAAGGTGACGAAATATAAAAAATTACATTCATAACATAACTGTCATGATTTTCATGTTATGACAAGTCACTTATGGTCTTCGTACAGTTCGAGCCGGAGGGCTTAAGAATGAAAAGTGCATACATATTGTTGCAAAATATGCCGGAACGAAGCATCGATGAGCGTGCGCGATGGATGGCTAAGACGACGAGGGGGAGACAGGCCCGCTCTGGCAGATGGACAGCTTTGGCTTCATGCGGAATAAAGAGGTCGTCTCAGTTAACATCTGCAGATCAGTTATTTGTTACATTTGGTGCACGAAACCCGGCATCCGCCCCTTCGGAAACTTCCCTGAACGTCACGACTATGGTGACCACTGACAATTTTCGGCAGAAGCGCAGCTCGATCAGAGTGGGTGTAACCCGAGCCCTAGCACTGTTATCGTACCTGCTGCAGAAACGGGATCCTGAAGCCTCTCAGATTAGCGGTCACATGAATTACCTCAAGGAAAACAAGGCAGCATTTTCAAGGCTCCACGATGTCATTCTGGCGGCAACAGACGAAGAACACATGGACCATGAATGGAAAACAGCAGGCGAGTACAACTCAAAGATTTTTTACGCCGTGTCACGTACGTGCTAAGTTGTGGCTACAGGAACGTGAGAAGGCAGCCACAACGCAGACACGAGCCACTGAACTCGGGTCAAGCAACCTAGAACTTCCTAACTCCGGCAAAGCAGCATGACGTACAGGTGAGAGCGCACCGTTCGCTTGCGGTTCAACTGGTCAAACTCCAGATACCAACTTTTGATGATAGTCTTTGTGGATGGCAGTTTTTTCGGGACCATTTCAACGCTACCATCCACAAGTATATCGAGCTACCGCGCATCAAAAAATTCAAGTACCTCCTCACTTACTTAACTGGGAGCGCGAAGCGAGCTGTCGAAGGCATCCGTTTAGCAGAGCACAATTATGACGTTGCAATCAAGACCCTCACGGATCGCTTTGGACGCCAAGATCTCTCTGTGAACGAGCCTGTTTTTAATATCCTTGCGCTAAGCCCTGTGAAAAGCTCGTCAGACGTCCGAAGGCTTCGTTTGTTGCACGATAGTGTGCAGTTCTACGTTAGTGCCTTGAAATACCTAGGAGTAGCGCCCGTCCAGTACACTGTGGTCTTAAACCGTGTCTAGATGCGATGTCTGTCGGAGGATCTGGTCACTATGTACAGGCGGACATTCCAGGAATTAAACTCTGCCTCCAGCATCGCCGAAATGCCTGAAGACCAAACGCAGCTAGCAAAGAATTTC